TTATTGAAAATTTGGACGTATGCGTCCGAACCACTAAGCGGCGACAATGAAAGAGTTAATAGATTTTTTTAATCCACCATGATTGTGATAAATAGGGCAAGAGAAAAAACAACACAGAACATAAGAAAGGTACAAATGACAGGAGGCCATTCGGTCCATCAAGCTCCTTTGGGGAGAACTTAACTAATAGCTCAGAGTTATTAAAATCTTGTCTAGCTCTGATTTAAAGGAACCCAGGGTTTTAGCTTCTGGTACACTAGCAGGTAAGTCTTTCTTATTATGGTGGGTTAGTAAAAGAAGTACTAGTAAAGCATCTGAATGCCCCAATGAGTTCACATTAAATATTAACACTGTAAAAATAACACTCTCTGCACACTGTAAAGTGTTAAAGGTAACATATAAACACCATGCAGTGTTAACACTGGCACATTTGCTGTGTATATTATGTACTGTATCTGCGTCTCATATTGTGGCACTAGTATCCAAATTTGTTCACTTGAAAATGGCTAACAGTGTTCAGTACTGCACCTTATGATTGTTTTTGTATTGCTTAATCAGTTGGTTACACCATGTAGCAATTATTTATTCATGTTGTTATTCCTGGGTACACAGCAAAATCCAAAGTGTTAATTTTACACCAACAGTGTTAATTTAAACACTTCTTCAGACTTTATATAGGTCCACACCAAATCAAGTTAAATGTACACTTTATGTAGTGTTATATTTTTCACACTTGACAGGTGTTGAAATTAACACTGTTAGAGTTACTATTATGTCATCAGGAGTGTTTTGGGAATTTAATTTATGCCAAGAGTATGTTCAAAACACACTGGTGGTGTCAAAATAACTTTTAGGTGTCAATATGTTAACACTAAGTGAGTGCTAGTATATATGATATTGAATTATTTTAGATGCAATATGAAGTTACTGCACTGTATTTTTAACTGTATGTTCCTGACCAATTTAAAGTACCAGTAAAAGGTAATGTATACACATTGTACACAATATTAAATATCAAGGAAGATATTTGCAAAATGTTTATTTAATAAATCTGTTTGCAAAATATTTTAACATGTATAAAACAAAAGCAGGTTTCTCAACCAAAATCATTTAAACTTAAAAAAGCCCATTGTCAGTGACAATTTACAGAGTATGCAAGTGTTAATTTACATATATGTACATACAGCTTACAGCAGCTATTAATCCCTTAATTAAAATATTAAAGTGCTGGTTGGTATAATTTTGGTAAGATCCTTATTCAGCAAATAAAAAATAAATCAATAAAATATATATTCCAAAGTTAAAATAAATTCTAAAACAAACTGAAGATTTTAAGACAAATACTGGCCATCGGTATTTGCAATGTGCCAATGATGAATACATTTAAGAATGACCATCTGAAGAGAATATTTGTACAAGCCAATTAAACCAGCATAAACGGGGGTATAATATATTGATACTCATCAGACCCATATACACTTTGCAGGTCAAATGGCCTGTGAAACCTCAGACTATTGGCTTTAATGAATTCACCCATGCCACAGCCACCCAGTACTTTAAATGCATGGAGATGCTCTGAGAAATGTTCTGTGAAAAGTTTATCCACCAAAAATAATATATTGTTGTCAATACTAAGTATTTTCCGAATCTGATTGAAAACAGGAATTTGGTCTTCAATTTCATTGCAAACAACCAGGCGTACTCTATATTCTGTCCCATCTATTTTCACCCAATTCACAGAGTATATGCTTCTCTCCATGGGATTCTGTAACATTTCTGCCAGATGCATACCATCATCAACATCCTCCCAGCAAAATGTTTTCATTGGACCATATTCAACATGTCTCAATGGTGATGTTTCCCAAAGATAGCCCATGGACATCTGATGACTTTTTGCCAAAGATTTGGTAATATTTTTAAAATTCTTGAGTGTTTTTTTGAAGACTTTATGCTTAGCTTCGAATCGCATACTCCACATATGCACTAAGGGACCTATTTTACGTATACAGGAAGGATAATGGATCATAAAATGATGTTTTGGCAAAAGATTCTTGTGTGGATACAGTTTTGTGAACAATTTGTGGTGCTCAATTATTAAATACTTCAGAAGAACAGTCATACCTTCAGAGAGACAGGGGGAAAATACAATGTTCACTATTTGAAGTAAAAGAAGAAGCAAATGCCAGTGTTCATCTCCATTGGGCACAAAATCACCAAAGATTAATGGGATGTTTTTTAAAAGACTAAGTGCCTGAACTGAGTTAAGCCCTAAACCATTCCCTTTGTTCTCGAGATTCACTTGTGTGGGACGATTCTTTCGTTCTAAATAGCCATAATCGTAAGCATAAATTCTAGAAACCAATTCACTCCGTGACATAAAGTCACTCTCAAGATATTCAAAGAGTAATTTCATTTCATATTGAGCAACTCCTTCTAGGATGTCGTGCATTACATCGAAACAGTAATTGTGGCATACATGAAAATATTTTAGACTGTTGAGTGATGATTTTCTTTTGAGGCCATAGAGTGATGAGAGTTGTGTGTTTGATTCTAGTTCAAGGCAATGCTGTTCATAGACTGCACAATCACGTAAAACAACCCTTGGATCATCCTCATTGTAAATAACCTGGGCAGCTGCCTTTTCAGTCAAACATAAACGACAGTAGTACTGACCACTAAATGATTCAGTGAAACCAAGGATTGAGTGCATTCCCAAGTTGTCTCCATTTACTTGACACAGAGTGCCATAAATTTTCCCAATGGAAATTGGTAGTTCAATGCCATCTGTCTCTAGCATACTGATGTCATGTATCAAAGGCTCCAATATGGGCTGAAACCCATATTTTTTCAAATCCTGAACATGAAAAAGTGCTACCAAATGGATATTCATCAGAGTTGAATTAAATTTGGGTGGAAGATTTCTTAGTACAAAATAAAGAGCCCCAACTTTGTGTATCCCATGTTTGGACCCAAGGGGATTTGCCGTTTCGAAATCATCATAATATAATTGTATTTGCAAAGCAGTGGAATGTCTAGAAAATAATGGATGAGCTTTGAAGTAACTTCCATCACAGAAGTCCTTATGATCATGTGATCTCTGCCTTTCCGAAGATTCCCTTATCAATCTACAAATATCTGAATTTCGACACATAAATTTAATAGTTTCTAGAATTGGCACATAAACAAAGGTATCTTTTACTGGGATCTGATCATATGAGCCTGTTTTTTTTATTGCGTCTCACATCATACCTCATGCCAAGTCTAATTTCAATTGGCTCAACTATACCCCATTTATCAAGGAAGTAATTGGCTCTTTTGTTTTCTGTGTTAAAACAGTGAAATGGGTTTTCAAAATGTGTAAAACTACTCTCAACTGCTGTCCTGACTAGGTTATCAAGAGGAATAACTGATAGTATCTTTTGGTGAGTTTGGGTGTGAACCTCTGAAATGAGCTCTTCAAGGTCTGAGACAATTGTTGAAACTAAACTATTTGCCATATTGCTGCATTGTAATTTGGCCAAAATTGAAGCACACATGTCCTTCGTATCTCTTTCGGAAAGGCAGTCATCAGTGTTCTCCAAACAATCTGCGAGACAAACTTGAGTATCACTGTCACCATTGTTCTTAAAATCAGAGGAGGCACCTTGGGATTCACCATTTCCTTTCTGTAAATAACCCAACTGATCACTATCAACATTTTGGGATGAATGCAATTCTGCATAAGGCAACCTAGTATCTTCAAAATGGACACTGTTTAAATGTTTCCTGGACCCTGAGAAAGTATAAAACTGGCGCCTACAACCGCCTTGCACACAAATCAACCTATACTTCAATGAAGGATAGAAACTGTGCGTAACCCGCAAGTGAGATATCAATTGCTTACTATTAGCATGCAAGCTCTCACAACAGAAGCATTTAAACATTGTTCAACAATTTCACACGTAGTTCTCTTACTCTTGGTGACTCACTTGTTATACCTATGTCAATATTATAGACTGTTGTCTGAAGAAAGGTGTAGACGTTTGCAAGAGATTCTTCATACGTGAGGTTAAAGACGTAATGGGCTTTGAACAGTTCATCGATGGCACTCAGGGAGCTGGTTCCTGCACAAGGGATGAGCTGCTTGTCGACAACCACATAAAAATTGTCTATCCTCTTCTTTACTCTTCCTACTGCAAGTAGGTATGGTTGGTGACCTTCTCTCCCGCTGAGGTGTTCTTCAATGCTGGTACAGGACTATAAAACAAAGACATATATTTTTAATTTGATAAGTACACAGCACTTGCAAAACAGTACAGAATTCTTTAATATTTGAAACACCTCAAACCATGAATAACATTTTATCAGTGAAAATCTGAAAAGTGCTATAACAAAACTTTTACATAGTTTGAGTATCTGAAGTTTTGAAGTTATTTGCAATGACAAATGACAAGTATTAAGTGTTTATAATACATGCAAGTCAATGAAGAAAAGACGAGTACAGACCACTGTTAGAATGTTAAGTTTGCATGTCATCAATAGGATTAAAAAATATTACATATTCGTCATGTGTGAAAAATGAGAGAACTTCCTTCAGTACCAATAAACCCAAAAATTCCATCAATGACTGTATAAGACATTGCTAAGACATTGATATTGTATTGGTAAATTACCTTATGATACTGTACAAGTCTGTCAACAGCATCTAGTGGACTTATTTTTACTTTCTTTCTCCCTGCAGAAGGTGGTAGCAAGTGCAACAGCAACAAGATAGAGGACATGTCACTGTCCCAGCCTGACAAAAAATAATAAAGGTCATTGCTCAGAAATATAAATTAGCATGTAAAACAGATAACCTTGTATGCCATTTAAAACCTCAAAATACCACTTACCATTTTCAGAGTGTTGGTTCTCTGCTGCACTGATGTGACTTTGTAGTTCTGCTGTCAAAGTGTGAGACTTTGCTTCTTTGATGACTTTCTGCTTGAATGCTGTCTCCCACTGCTCAAGCAATTTTGCGGATGTTTCAGCATTGAACAGCAAAACAAAGTCTTGATTTACCTAATGAAATTGCATACAGCAAATCATATAACAATCATGATTGAATCACACATAATTGCTTAAACCTAAAAATAAATAGAAAAAGAATGTTTATACTTACCAGACCTTTTACGTCTAAAAATCTTGGAAAGGTTTTAAAGACGTTGGTTGACCTTTTTGGGTTGTGAACAAGCTCTTGCCGATGCTTAAAGGTTTGCTTCATCTTTTGCCTAACTTCAGCTTCATCGGCTGTGTGAAGAAGGAATGAAATGGCTTCTCTGCATGCATCTCCATAAAGTTGTTCAGTATCCTCAATTCTTCTTCGACGACTTGGTCCACCAGTCTCATGAGACACTAAGCATACACGTTTAGGATTCTTCCTTGAAAGAGTTTTAAGTCTCCATGCAATGAATCCTGTTCCCTTCTCTGGATCATAAAAATGTTCCTAAAAGCAAAAATGTACATTTATTTAATCTCATCAGTAAATTACAACTTTATAAATGATGTACTGTAGTCATACCAAAAGAAAAATGTTAAATTATTGCAAAACAAAAACGTTAATAAATAAAATTCATGAGTTTATTAAAAAATACTGCAGCATTAAATTACAAAAAAGCACATGAAAGTGAATGAAATATACTTACATAGCCCTTCGATGAATACGGATCTCTAAGAGCAGGGAAAAGAGAAACAATGCCCAAGGCATATGTCTCTCTCTGTTTACGGGTGGGAATCCTCCTGAAAATTTGGTAAGATTAATTAGAGCATACTCATTTATTCAAAACCCCATATCTAATGAATAGACACAAAGCAAGATTCTGTGCAATTATCTATATTCTGATATCTTACCCATGAACCTCTGTCATATGGGTAACAAGAACATTAACAAGCTGTCGTCTTGTGCTGTGCTTAAGTGTTTTGGTTAACTCATATTCTTCAAGAACATCCACACCACCAGGTTTTCCTTTCAGGGCATTTTGAACAATCTAGTTATTAAACAGGACAAAAATATGAGGGAATGGCATGGTGACACATCACAAGTAAACAGTATCCATGAAAGCAGATATATCCACATTTACCTGTTTTGCCTTTTCAGCACTTATGATTTCTTTAACAGTGCTAGAGTTTGAGTTTGCAGACAGATTCAGCTGTGTTCTCTCCAAGCCTTCTACATCACTGGAGTTTGAAAATGTGTCAGTGCATGTACCAAGTATTGAGGTAGCTGTGGGTGAAACATCTTTTTTTTAAAAAGGGGAGATCATTATTGATTAATTTTTATATATTTTATAAAGACATCTGAGCATTTCTAAACAAAAGTACATACCATCAGAAAAATCCAGGTCAGCAAAAAGTCCTTGTGGAAGACATTTTACAGTGAAGCATATCTGTGGGTTGCTTTGAAGCAACTCTTGAAAAATATCCTCCTCCACATTAGTATCTGTCTCATCAAAGAGTTGAAGTGCATCATTTGCTGTAAGCCCAAATTTTTTCTTAACTAAAACAAGAGAAAATGGATTAGAAAATTAAGTTTTCAAATCAGAAGAAACATTAGCCAACACTTAAATTCAAACTTACCTTCGTTTAGAAACTCCTCAAATGTGAATCCATCTTGCAATCTGATATATTTTTTCGCTTGAAGGTAGTTCACCTTCACCAGCATGATGAAGCCTAATAAAAAACTTCATTACCTTAGATGTTGAACAATCTAGTTAGAACAGGTTAATATTTCGCAACACAACTTAAACTATCATTAAAATTCATTTAGTTGTCGGGGCATACAGTATCTATTTAAGAGAATATCATCTATGGAGAGACATTCCTCTTAAAATTAAATACGCAGAACTATAAATAAATAAACACATGGTCATGTCATGATAAGTAAAAATGAAATAAAATTTAAGTATAATTAATACATACATTTCCTTATTTATTTCGTCATATGTTAAACTGATTACGCACATTAAGTCATCGTCGACTTACTACTGATCAATTTTACGACCCTTCCGAGATCGTTTCGGAAGAGCTGCGGTAAATGCTACTTCTTTCGACGGCCCTTCCAACTACTCCCTGAACCGAGTCAATCTACCGCACAGCCATACAGAATTAGGCAAAAGCAATCGAGTATAAGCGATGCACCAATTAAAACAACGCGTTCCACAAAAGCCCGCGCTCCCCATCTGGACAGTTAAAATTTCAAGGCCTAGGCCTATTTCATGTCATGTTGGCGGAATTGAAATTATTAGATAAAGACATAATTAAATTTAATACATGTAAAATAACGAAATAAATAACTAAACACATATGCCCCTTGTTAATGTAAACCAACGAAACATTAATTTAATGTAATTTTTATCTGCCCCTTCAAACTGTTTGTTTATTTCTAAACTCATCTGCTTATTTATTAAATTGTGACCTACTGTAAATATCGCTCCATAATTACTCAATCGTTAATTTGCTAAGATAACAAGTGTTCTCTTAATTTGTCAAGGGGTCTAACGTATACGTACTATTAGCATGAAACAATCACGTTATAAATCTCACTTATAGGCGTAAAATAGCAATTAAATTGTTATTGTAATATTTTAGCGATAGAAAACGCTGGTTCTTTCATACCCTAACCGAAGACACCTTATTGATGCTTGAATAAATACATTTTTAACAACAGCTTTTCAATATACTCCAACTTACATGAGCACAGTTCTTTGGGTATAAAGAGCTAGACTGGGGGGGACTTGTATAAAAAGAGAAAGGGCTATGTTGGTCTGAATCTTTCTCATGATGGTGGGTAAATCTGGGCTGGCTCTTCTGATCCTCATGACTTGTGCGCATATTAAAATGTGGCAGATGTTTGGAGGTGGAGACTCATTGACTTACCTTATGGTGTAAATTAAACACTATTAGAGTTAATAAAGATTAATACTTTAACTCAATTGTTCAAGTTGCTGCCAAAGCAAAACATCTGTGTACAACCACTGTACACTATTGAATTAAATAAATCCAACATGTTCTTTTTTTCAGTGTATATGGAGCCCATCAAGGGCTCATCATTAGCCCATGTGGGCTAACCCATGTGGGGCCACCATGGAAACTGCGGATAAAATTGACTGGGCCCCACTTGGGTTTCCCATGTCAGCCCAAGTGCATCCCATGCGGGCCCCACATGGATGTGTTGGCTGGGTAATTAGTCTGCCGTTAGTGTAGTGTGCTCAGTAACGGCTGCCACGAGAAGTAACTCTCAGGCTCCTTCTGGTTGGGTTGACACATGCGCATAAAACAAAGAAACATGTTTTATCCGTTTCACGAGTTTTCTCGATTTTTCGAATCTAAAAGTTTCAAATATTCATTTCATTTTTTATGTTTAAAGTTTTACTATTCATGCATAAAATTTCACTCAACAAAAATACAAATAGCATTTTTATTGATATCAGCAGTTGTCTACGATTACTCGTACGTATAGATATTTACTGATCACTTTTAAAATGTAAAACATTCTGGATATTCATTAATGTATAATGATTTGAAAACATCTATTGTGTTATCTATTGCGTTATTCACTTTGGATACATGAAATACATTAACATCAGGATTGAAATAGTACTGAAGCAATATTACGTGATGATCATTTTATCCTTTTATTTTATTCTATTTTGGGCTTGTAGGATCTTAAGAGTGGCAAGGCTTGAAAATAGCAAATTGTTCTGTGCATGCATGGACCTGAAAGAGCCTGAGCTGCAATACCTGAGAAGGGTCGCTGCAGCTGAATATTATTGGCAGCCACTGAACAAAAATGAAATGCTGTTCTAGTGCCGGAAATCAAATCCACTCTTTGGGGGTGTAATGTATATGTACTCCTCGAAATAACACTCAATCCAAACACTGTGTAACACTCCAAGTGTTCATATCCTCAAATCAACACCAGAATGAACACCTGTTAACTCAGAAAAAATGAACACTGAAAAAACAACACTAATCAACACTGAAGATTTTGCTGTGTAGTGTTACAGCATTACTAATGGCATTTCCCTTTGTGAGTAGGTTATTCATCACACCCCTTTTGAATCACAAATTTTTGTGCTTAATGCTGGGGTCGAATTCAATCAGTTCCTTTCCCAGTCTGCCGATTTCATCCGAGATGTTGCATGAATCTCTTAGATGATTATCATTGCCCAGATCAGGAGTGGTACATGGATTCCAGAACAGTGGAGACATCCCACTGGATTTCAGTAGTCTGCTGAGACTCATCAAATGAATTTCTAAATTCAGTTTCTGTATCATTAAAACTTAAGTGACCGTTGGACTCATCGCTCTTTCAACATGGGCATGACAATATAATCCAACGTCTCCCATTCGGACCCTGACATACAGCAAATGTGCCTTTGTTAAATTAACACTGCATGGTTTTTATATAATTCTCACCAATCAGTGTTACATTTAATACATGCAATGACTGTTGTTTAATGGTGTTAAATTTTATTAGCTCTTATAGTGTTCAGTTGACACCATAGAGTGTTAGACCACTATAACTCCACCTCTTCCCAGATTACAAGCCCATATGGGTGGCAAATGGGTACAATATGGGTGGTTCATATCTACCCCATTTTAATGTGAACACAACAACTCGTATGAGGATCATAAGAGCCACCTCAGATTTGACAACCATCATAAGAAAGACTCTGACCAAATAGAACCTTGGGGCATTTTCCTGCTTTTTTATTCAACATTTAAGAGGAATTTATTGTCAATACAGCAATATACATAGTATATCGTGCATCGAAATGCTGTTTCACCCAGCCATCCCCATGGTGCATAGAACATAAAATGTAGAAAAATATAAAAAGATTACACACTTAAGTACCTTGAGATCTAAAAAAAAAAAGGTTTATTGGTTTAGTGCTGATTGTTTTTCTTTCTTATAATTTTTTGTTAGCCTTTAGTTAGAAAATTGGCTGGAATTGTAAATATTTTAATGGAGGGTGTGGTGTATTTGTTGAGGTAAGGCCTTTTTGGTTACCTGTTCTGACCTTGATGGGTTTTATATGTGGAAATATGTTAGAAGAGTTAATTGTGACACCCTTTGCTCCTCAGCTCCTGGTACCACCCACAAAATGACCCAGACCAAAAAAAAAAGCTTCGGATTTATGTCATCAGAAAGTGGTACAGACTAATATCTATGACATACCATCCTAGAACACGGTGGGTTGTAAAATTTAAGCCCAATAAGAATCTTAATATTAAATAAGCAAAATAATTTGATTTGTTCTTCTATCCCAAGGTGTGGTCTAAAAGCTATAAGGCCACCACCCATTATATCTGCCTTAGGGAAAATGCACTCCTGTAGCCACTAGGGGAGCTCTCACCTTCTCTGAGCCCTGCTAAATAATTATGTTATGCATTCTAACAAGCTTTATTATTGGTGTCAATAAGCACTGATGTTACACTAACACTCCTGCTGAGAGGTCAGTTTGATTACCAGTCTTGGCCTTTTCATTAAGAACACATGACAATTTGCATAGAATCAGAATCAGAATCAGAATCAGAAAACTTTATTAATCCCAAAGGAAATTGCTTACATTACAACTGCATAGGGCTGGGCGATATCAAATCGCGATTAAATCGCGCATGCGCAATAATCACTAGGGCTTCAGAT